GTCAGCAGGGAAACCCAGTGAACCCTGTCAGATGTAATATCACCTTCTCCCCTGTAGCCTTATAATGTAAGAGCATAATCCATTCTCACAGAGGTATACAGGAGTCCAGGACCACTTAAATAAAGGATTTTTATATGGAGGTAGAATATGAATTATACAGTTATTATAGGAGTTTTAAAGTTTTGCTTGGATAAGTTGAAATTTCTACTGAAGCATTGTACCAACCATACGCTTTGACATTCAAATCAAGGCTGGTGATTTTGGCCATTCTAAGGAATGACATTTCTAGAAACAGTGTCTGTCAGTGTTAGTTTTATTTTCTCATAAAATGAGAACTATGGATGTGACCACGTAAGTGTCAAGCAAAATCTGTGTTCAGTTTGCAAAGAAGTGAAATTGTATACCTTCTATAATTTCAGGCCAAATATTAGAGTTTAGCATGCCCTACAGTCGATTCTATGTACAGAGTTAAATCACAGTTTATATATGTATGGTTGTTGAAACACATTTTTTTGCAGGTATAAAGACATGGAGCCCAAATATACATGAGACTGGAAAATCAACTATATGTAATCATTCTCTTCTGTAGAAGAATTAAAGATACTTACAATAATAGACTAGGTAGGCATCAACCACCGCCAAAGGTATCAACGACTTTTACTTTTACCATTTATCACTTAAAAAATCTGCTTGCCATTTCTGTATTCCTCTATATGGTTTCAGAGAGAAAAATTACATATGCAGCTTCACTTCCATTTTTAACAGTTAATTGCTGCATAAATACACAGCATAAAGAAAAGCACAGACATTTTATAAAACTAGAATGGTTCTGAAATACTTGGTTGACTATTTACATTTCTTATGCAGTAGATACATCTGAAAGACCTACTCTAAAGTGACTCTTTCTATAGTAAGGTAAAGTTAAATTTGCCTAGAGAGTATCTGAACCAGAAATTTAAACTCCTCATCATTTTGAAGGCAATAGAATTGACATTTATTGCTCTGCCATACCAAACTACAGCCCCACCTCTGGACTATATGGCAGATGGATGCTTTAAGAGCCTTCCCTGGAGCCTTCCAGTGCAAACCGTATTGTCTGTTTAGATGACAAACTCCTGGAAAAGCCTGGACTGTACATTTTTCTGTGTTTTGTGCAGCTCTACTCTTTATGGTGTTTAAAATGATCATCAAAATTTATCCACAGTTAAACTACCCTAAGGAAGCCAATGTTGCCTGCCCTGCAAGACCATGACCTCAAATGTGGCATAAACAATATTTGCTCCCCATTATTTATAGTGCCTACTATGGCTCTCCAGGAAGCCACATGTATAACACCTAAATTCATAGGTCATTCAGGGGAAATAAGTACCAACTTTATTGGACTGTGAATGAGGCCACTGATACGTAACACCTCCAAAGACTGCATGTTGATGAGATATATAGATATACAGACAGATAGATATATCTCATCATCAAACATCAGTAAACCCACTAGTGCTTAATGTCCCTCAATGTGCTCTTTCCATTCCAGTTATCACTCCTCTTGGTGTACCTTTAGAAAAGCTGTATCATGTCATACAAAGCTCAGCTCTTTCGATGTTAAAAACCAAGGTAGAGTAATGCATCATGAATTATCAAATGGCCACACAGTAATGTGATTTTCCCTGTCTACTGCTTTCACAGTAACTGAAGCAATAGTGACTTCTACAGTGGGGGGAAAAAAAACATATCACACAAAAAAGCCCCTGAAAAATATCTAGGTCATTGCTGGCTAAAAGATTAAGTTTATTTTCAGTATGTCAGTCTTGCTTTTTACTTAATATGTTGATATGAAAGGACATAAATGACACAGAGCCATTGCACATATCTAGCCACATGTTCCTGTGGACAGTGCACGAACAAATTGCATGGTCAGTTTTATAACACTCCAGGCACCGATTTATAACTATGTCATAAGACTTTACTGTAAGTTGATGGATGTTTTTTGAAAGGTGAATGGCATAGGTAAGTTTCACCTTTTGCTAAATGTATATGGTTCCTGTTCTTTTGTATTTATACTTACATAATATGACTTTCAAATAACTTCAACTGGGAAGCGGCAAATTAACTTTGTCTTCTAACTGGCTGGAGTAAACAATTCATCTGTAGAGCTTTCCTTGGGCAAGGGCCTTCTCATTTGTGGTTAAAAGGACAAGGAAGCACAGAAAAAAAACAAATCCAAAGAAGGAAAAGAAGGGCAAAGAGACTTGCCAAAGGAGATACACATATGTACTGTACTGCCTGTTAGGACACTAAATTCCTGGCAGGGCTCATGTTGGTATCTTTCTTCATGCTTTCTATAGCACTAAATCTTATTTCCAATATTTAGAAATAATAATTGTGACAAAATCTGTGGACAAAATCTCCTAAGAAACCCAGCAGAACTGGTCCTGCTGGTGTAGAATAATACTGTTCCACATATCACAAGATACAGTTTAAATTATGAATTAATGTCACGTATGAAAATAAAACTAAATCTAATTCTCACTTGTACTGAGTTAGCATGGCAAGGTTTTGGTAGCAGGGGTGTTACGGGGTGGTTTCTGTGAGAAGCTGCCAGAAGCTTCCCCCATGTTCAACAGAGCCAGTGCCAGCCAGCTCTGCCAGATCAACCCAGTGCTGGTCAAGGTCAAGCACATAAGTGACCAGTGGTAGTGCTTCTGGGGTAACATGGGCAAAATACTGCTGGGAAAGAGCAGTTGAAGAAAAGAGAATATGTGAGAGGAACAGGCCTGCAGACATTGAGGTCAGTGGAGGAGTGGGAGGAGGTGCTCCAGGTGCCAGAGCAGAGATTCCCCTGCAGTCCATGGTGCAGACCATGGTGAGACAGCTGTGCCCCTGCAGCCCATGGAGGTCCACAGTGGAGCACAGATCCACCTGCATCCTGTAGGGGACCCCACACTGGAGCAGGTGGGTGCCCAAAGGAGATTGTGACCTCATGGGAAGCTCAGGATGGAGTAGGCTCCTGGCAGGACCTGTGGCCCCCCTGGAGAAAGGACCCCATGCTGGACCAGGTTTGCTGACAGGACTTGTGACTCCACAGGGGATCCATGCTGCAGTAGTGTGATCCTGAAGGACTGCATCCTGTGAGAGGAATCCATGCTGGATCAGTTTGTGAAGAACTGCAGCTCATGGGAATGCTTCATATTGGAGAAGTTCATGGAGGACTGTCTCCCATGAGAGGGACCCCATGCTGAAGCAGGGGAAGAGTGTCACAAGCCCTCCACTTGAGGAGGAAGGAGCAGCAGAGACAATGAGTGATGAACTGACTGCAGGCCCCATTCCCATTACCCTGCATTTCTGGGGTAAGGAGGTAGAGAAAATCAGAAGTGAAGTTAAGCCTGGAAAGAGGAAGGGTTGGGGGAAGGTATTTTAAGATTTCATTGTATCTATACGGTACCCTTCTCTGATTTGATTGGCAATAATTTTACTTTTTTTTCCCCCAAGTCAAGTCTGTTTTGCCTGTAACAATAACTGGTGAGTGATCTCTCCCTGTGCTTATCTCGATCTATGAGTCTTTCTCAGCTCAGCTGAGAAGGGGAGTGATAGAGCAGCTTTGGTGGGCACTTGGCATCCAGCCAGGTCAACCCACCACATCACTCCTGATATCATTTACACACCCAGTAGTCTTTACACATGAAATACAGCAGAAGTTATTTCAATCAATACTGAATACCTAGAAAATCTATTTAAGAAAGTCTCTGCAATACTTAAAAGGCTTAACATATCTGTTTTAGTCAATCAAAAAACTAATAATCTTTGTTCTTCTGAGTAGCAAAATTCACTCACATTACATTACGCATATATACACTTGGACAAAAGAAATTCTCAGGTGAATAAGGGAGAATCTCTCTCCTGCTGCACTGAACAGTGAGTCATGAACACTTCCAACACTCCACCTTCAGGTTTTTTTATCTCTTTTTCAAAAAGGAAATCATTTCAGCCCAGAACTTAAACAGATGTTTAATACCCTCTTAGTTTGCTCCAATACAGCCAGAAAAACAACTGTTTATTCTGTGTCATGTTTGAGTTCCATAATATTCATGTTCTAGAAAAGGATAATGAACTTCTAAACACCTTCCAATAAATGTAACTATAATTTTAGGCCTTCCTCAACAGGAATATTCTACAAGCTCCAGACACGTCAACCAAAATTTCACATTAAATTTTAATAATTTAAATCTACTGGACAAACAGAGTATTTCAGGTTGACAGTGTGTCCTCTTTCCCACCAACATGAACAGGTCAACACAGAAACTTCAAAGGCTATCTTGCAATTCTCTATCATAAGCTCTATATTCTCGGCCTTAAAATATGGTGCCAAAACTGCTTTAAAGAATGAGGATTCTCCAGGATCAGCCAGGAATGTCAGTTTGTCTCTGGAATGAAGGAAGTGTGTGGAGTCAGCTGGGAGCAGGAAAAAACCAATATAAGTGGAAAAAGGGTAGAGGCAGAGATGCCAATTTCAGCCAGTGTTACAGTTCCCATAGGACCAGTTCAACTGGCTTCAAAAATGAAACCACTAGAACCCCCTGCCTTGCACAGAGGTCCAGTTCAGCTCCTGACTGTTTCCCAAGTCAAGCAAAGTGTGTATCTGACACGCATTTACGTCTGCCTAATCAATGTATTAGCATGGAGAGGTCCACTCCAAACAATTTCTTAAAAAGAAGTATCAGACCTTACAACCACATTCCAAATTACTTCATGGAGTGTGACAAAATCAAAAGAAAAGGAGAGGAAACAGATGTGTGATGAAAGACACTGTCACAGAGAACTGTCAGGATGCAAACGGGAAATTTTTTTCAATTCTTTTAACTAGCCTCAACTTTACAGTTCAAACAGAAGGGTCACCACATGCTATTGATACCAAGCAAAGCTCAGATTTCTAAAGGGCCATCTTCACATAAAGCACTTACTTAAACTATTACAGCTTCTTGAAAGATATTGAGAAATATAAGTACCTGTTGTCTCCACGAGAAGGATCCTTGGGTTTAGCATCACTATCATAAACAAAACGCTCTTGGGAGATGACTATGATGTCTGTAGTTTCATTTCCCAAGATAGTGATAACAGGATAACCCATCTGTAGTGTCCATTGATCCATTACTTCTTGGATATTTACCGATTTTCCAACCCTTTTTAAAGCCTTGAAGGAAAAAGAAAAGTTTCAATACATTGAAACAGTATCATCACCCAACACGTAAAATTTTTATTTTTTTTTTTGGTCATGGAGATCATAACTAGTTTGGGAGATTGAAATAACCATCACATGTGTGTGCAAGACACACATGCACGTTTACACCCAATACACACGCTACATAACTGAACCAAAAGCCTCTGTACTTCTTAAAGATAAATGTTGAGTAATCTTAACAGAGAGGAGAGTGACAGTCAGAAAATCATGTTTCCCACATCACTCAGGCACCTGCTTTACAGGATTTTAACAACAGCCACAGAAATACTGGGTGGCTGTCTCCAAAATATATTCTTGACCAGCTAAGGTTAAAAAAGTGTTAGTTGATCTAGGGCACCTCCAACAAGGCACATTTGAAGGGCTCTAAATTAACAGAGCTCCTCTGCTCTGAAAATCAGATGACTAGTTATTTGAAAATATTGTCCCTTATGTCCAAAGTGAGGCTATGTATTCCAAGATAACCCCTGCTGCTTCATAAACTGCACCTGTCATAACACATGGAGGATTAATGTGTTCATATTTGATTCCATATGTCAATAAAAATGCTGTTTCAGCTGAAATACAAAGAGATACTACCAAGTCTCATGGGAGAGACTTGGCATGAGGAGAATGACAGGTATCATTTGTTCTTCAGTGACGGAAATGTTCCTAGCTGTCAAACACAGTCCGAGATCACAGACCAAGCAACCTCTGATGAATACAAGCAGAAGACGTCTTCAGAACTGAAGCTGCAATTGGAACAAAGTGGCTGACAACAAATGGATTTACAGCTCAGGCAAACAGAATTAGCTGTAACAATAGATATGAGCATATGGTATAGCCATAGTGGTTACGGACCAAAATACGGTCTCATTTTTGTTCTACTTTATTAGTTGTGTGTTCTGCGGTTCTCTCAAGACTACATACATCCCTCTGACCTTCCATCACCCAGAACTGCCCCAAAGGCTTTAACAGAGAAAAGGACCAGGTGAGAAGCAAGAAAGACTTTTGCAGTGGCATTCAGCTTCAGATTAAGACACAGATTTAAAAGCCTGACTGTATATTACATGCCTCAATTCATTAGCAGTCAGTACAGACATAGGACTTGGTTCAGTTGCCCACATGTATGTCGTTAATGTCATTTGACCTTTACCTGCCACTTCAGAAGAGCACAGATTTCTCCATATATCATATAGCATAATTTAACAATTATGTTAAATCTATTAGACACACCTTAACGTCTTGAACATCCTACTGCACCTATTCTGGCCCTAGCTGCCTATATTTGAGCAACTATCTCAAGTCCCTAGTCAACAGTCAGAAGTTCAGGCTCTTTATAAAATAATCATATAAGGGCTAGTCAACTGAATTGCTCTCTATGCTGTGCTGACTATATTGACTAGATTTCTGGGACTCTAGTTGTTCCTATTCACCAAGTATCAAATGACATGTCCTAAAATACTCAACACATTCTTTCAGAACTGGTGTAACCTGTAATGGACATGCTTATATCATGTGGCAGCTGGAAGTCAGGCAGGATAAACTAAGGTAAACACTATTATAAGTCTATGAATGGGCAACTCAAGACTCACTCAGAACAAGTGGACCTTGGACACCTAGCTTACATATACATACCTGCTTGTCTAGATAAATGCAGATGTCTTGACCTCCAGCTGAAATCTAGCTTTGATGTCAATAGTTACAACTAGATTGCCATGTTCTGTATGGCTTGGGCTGGTACTTATGCCAAAACTCTCTGACTGTACCAGCTCAGATTAGCCATGTAGGGAAGAAATTCAGGCATGCTTGGCTCACTTTATGAAACTTATACTCTTTCCTTATAAATCCCCAGACCAGGTTCTAGAAACACAAGCCAAGTCTTTTACAGCGTATGGGCCTCAGCATGCTGCCACTGAAGTCAATGACAGCAGATTCTATGAAGTATCTTTCACTACACATCAGTGACATCGCACATGCAAAAAATATATTCTAAAATAACAAAGAACAGAAATGCTGAAAAAAAACCATATTTTAATATTGCTACTAGGCTAACTCAAATGGAATTTCTTGACATCAATTTTTGTATTTATTCTGGGGTTTGAAGATCTCAATATTCACTATTCTCTTCTAACCTCACCAAGAAAAGTAGCACAGTAAATTCCTGCTTATCCCTTAGGGCAATAGATTAAAGCATTTTACCTTTGACAATGTGTTCCAGAGATCATTTCTGGCTGCATTGCCATACTTGTGAATGGTTAAATAGTCCTACAGAAATAAAATAAAATACAAAGCAGTATTACTATACACAAGTCAAACAGCTAGAGCTGTGAATCACTGCTATTAGAAGTTAAATCCCATCAATGTTTGCATTTGTTAGAAATCTAGAAATATACAATATGTTCATCCTAAGGGAATAAATAAACAGTTTCTTAAGCTAGTTTGCAATGCAAAAATTGTTGCTAAAAATTTCATTTACAATATTCAATGTTCTTTTCTGTGTAGTCAATCTATAAACAATATTTTGAATATATATTTAAGATAGATGTCTAATCTTAGAAGGGATTCCTAGGTAATTCTCAGCAATGAAAGGAAAAGCTGCTGAAACCCAGTTCCAATTGCCATTTTAGCAGGTGATTCTGCATCTAGTGTCAAAAATTTACTCACTCAGATAACTGTTGGATTCATTACAAAAGATTTAACTGAAAACAGCCTATCTATCTGACTTACAAACTCCTATCTAGGGAGATCCTGGTCCTTAAATGTCAAAATACACCATACTGGCAACTGGGACTTTAACAGGTTATCACAAAGACTCACCATGCCAAGGAGCAGTGGAGGACAGGTGACAGGAACCCAACTCAGTGTTGAGCACAGATACCTACATGTGTGTTTTCACTCCATACATGACAGAATCTGAGGAGGGTATAAACTGAACGCTTCCACTTATTCCACCACAGTTTCAATAACTGAGGGCCCATTCTTCTCCCATAACAACCAGAAAGATAATTCCTGAAAAGCTTCCATCATATTAAAGTAACTTCCCAAATTAATAGTTTAAGCGTATGACCAGCTTAGGTCTAGGTCTTTCAGACATAAAACACTTCCTATATTAAATGACTTCTCAAGAGACAACACTGTTTTTTCCCACTATCCTATGTCTCTAGACAACAGTTCATTTAGTTACAGTAGTGAAATTTAGCAGTGATTATTTGAATAACATACATTTCAAGCATTTTGATCAGAAGAATTAAGTGCAGAAACACATCAGAGGTTGTAAATCAATTGATTCTCCTGCATTTGAATTTCTACCATCTTCACTTTACAAGCCCTAGAAGACAAACCCTAATTTAAAGCACAATGATAAAACTGGGACAAATCTGCTGACTGTGTTATCTGTGCTTTGTGTGAAGTAAGATATTTTGGGAATAATTAGTATTTGGAAAACAAATTTTCTGATACACAAATTGTAGCACCTGTGACAGATTTAGCTTTTGTCAGCCAACTCATAGTAAGACAAGCAGCAACTCCCATTTAATCACAAACTAGGAAGGCTAAACGAGAACACTGGCTCTGTAAATGCAGCGCTGAGCCTTAACAATGTCATGAGACTAACTCAGAAAAAAGACAGTATTATATAGTCTGCATCTATAGCGCTCAGTGCTTCCATTTTGTCTAAAAATACAGAATCACTTAAGGCACAGTGAAATATTTAATAACTTCCAAAGCTAAAGAAGTTGAATTGCAAATTAGAAAGCTAAAATAGGAATAAACAAAAGTGGGACAAGGTAAATAAATAACAACAAATATACAATCTGCATTCTAAGCAGTACAAGAAAATGCTGCATATATTGTTCCGTCTGAGAGATGCTTTCAGAATTGTTGCAGAGCAAAATAAAATGGGTAGAACACTTGAGGGCTCCAAGTTTACCGATCTACCATTGGACATTTTATTTGATTTTTGCATTTTGCTTTCAGGAAGACAGCAAAGAAACTAAATACTTCCGTCCTTTTCTCTTGGGTTTTGTTTAGATCGGTTTTTTTCCTCCCAATACACAGATTGGGAGGTTTAAATGTGGCTTGTCAGTCAGTTAAAAATTTATTATCCTCCAATCTAACATGTTTATCTCACAAAGGAAAACAAAAGGAATCCTAACCTTTACAATGAAATAAGAAAATACAATGAGAAACACAACATCCAAGTCCAGTCCTGGTACCATACAGGTAATCACCAATTTTTTCATTATTTTATGAAAATTTCATCAAGACCTTAAATATAGCACCAAACTAGGACTGCTATCAAAAGCATACTACACAAAAAACAGTCCTAAGTGACACAGGCTTTCAGTAGTAAATCTACAATGCAATCCCAAATCTTAGTGCACTTTCTACAGGCACAACAGCAAAAGGCTTCTGAAGCAGGGCCCATGAAAAACCCTCATATATCCTGTTTTCAACAATAAGCAGTAGTAGGCACCTGGAAAGGGTATAAAACTGGAAAAGCATACAGCGGAATGCTCTTCCATCATTCAGCACTTCATGGCACAAGAAGTCCTGAGCAGATTAGTATCCTTGTATTTAATAGTTATCTTCCGTGAATTTGGCTGGTTGCCTTCTGAACCTATATAAGTGTTTAGCACTTGCAACATCTTACAAAAAAGCATTTCCCACTTTGGTGATCTGTTGTGTCAAGGTTCCTCTTTCAAACACCTGCCCGTCTGCTGGTTTTATCTGCTGCTTCCTAGTTCTGGCACTAAAAGACATAGTGCATTATTGTTCCCTACTTCACTCAACACAAGCCATCCATGCTTTTACAAATCTGTATTGAATGTGTCTCCCTCAGAGAGCATGGTTTTATACTGAACGCTGCCAGATCCAACCTCCTCCAGCTCTGCTGCGAAGTTCCACTTTGTTACCACCTCCCCAGCTGCTGACTCCAAAGATAGCTAGGGTCTCTATGATCCAGCCTGAACTTTCATTACCAGATTATCAACCTCTCTTGAAGTATCTTCCATGGACAGCACTAGACTTAAAAAAGAAGATAAAAGGCTTACATGTATCAGCATCCAATACATGTCAGGAAGTAGGAGCCAAAGATGTGTACACACCCTGCTTGTCTGTTCTAAGGATAGAACAAGCAGGAATATAATGCATTTTTCCTCCTGGAGACCCATATCTAAGTCTTAAGTAGCTTGCAAAGAGGCAGAATATACACTCTCATTCACAGTAATTCTCCAGGGCAGGAGTATTAACCACCCCTTTGCCCGTACATTCAATAGAAAAACCAAAGCAAACAGAAGAGAGATGCAAGCCACAGAACAGAAAAGGGGGATGACATTGAAAACACAGCTGTCTGAATCTCAGCTGCGCTCAGCACAGCTCCAAAGGAGGCAAAGTGACTTCAAGCTACTTATTTATAAACACATATGCCCAAAACCATCTAGCTGCAAGGCTGCTTCCCATCATAAACATGTAAGTCTATCACCTACAAAAGCTATTCCATCAACTAGAGTATGCTGGAGCATGAAGATACACATTAGCCACCTTCCTTTCAGCTATAACCCTACAGTATGTGTAAGCACAAAAGATGGCATGAAAATCTTAACAATTCAAGATTCAAGAGTGCTCTTCTACAACTCTTCCTTTCTCCTTCACTGTAATGTTGCCCCTAAATTTCTTTTTTGTCATGGGGAAAGTAGAAAGACCCTAGTGCAGCACCACTCAACATGAAAATTAATCAAACACACACACAAAAATGACCATTTGGGTTTACATTTTCAGTAAGCATCCACTTTTAATATTTTTCCTAACTTCCTGGCATTAAAATATGAAGCCACTCTTTGCCAAAACAAGTACTGGAATATGATCCATTCACCTCTATCAATAAAAAAATTTAATCAGACAATGCGGTTTTCTGACATGTGTTTTAGCAATTTCTAACATCAAACAAACAAGCAAATAAATAAATATCCTGAATCTGTCACACCATGAAAACAAAGTCCATTTACTGCACAACCAAAACATAAGTTCTTTTAAGAAATCCGAAAAGATTTAGATTGTAGTATAATATGTCATCAAAGAATAATCTTAATACCCCAACAAAAAAAATTAAAAGGTTTAATGCTTTTGAAATTATTACATGAAATCTGAAGCAGATAGCTTGAACAGTCATACAAATATAGTCAAAAGTGCTAAAGAATTTTGAAAGATGTTTTAAGTAATGCTGTATTGATTAAGCTTGCAGGCCTTTTATTGTATTAGTTTTTTTAAGAAAAGGAGATTAAAAAGTCTTTCATATGTTTGCAATATTAATTTGCAATATTAGCTAGGAACTGAGTCTCTTTGTTTCAAAAAAACTGAACCTCCCCACCATCCAAATATGATAATGCTCACAACTAATAAAAGGTAGTGACTGATAAATGCCAAGAGGTTAAACAGCTGTAAAGGGGGAATAAGTCTCCAAACATGCATCTTACTTTCAGAGGAGAATTTAGACCTATAACCAGGAACTGAAATATCAATTCTAGGACCAAACTCCTTTCTCAGTTAATCTGCATAAAGTTGATTGGTTGGCTGAAGGAACAGCTCCTGTCCTGACTTTCATGAGTGGTGCTGAGATCTGCATAAGATGGGCATTGAATAACTTAATTTTTCTCCTAAAGGTAACTGGGAAATTCCACTATCTATATAAGTGAGGAAAAAGTAGCAAACTATTTTGGCCTCAAATTCTTGCGGTTGTGTTCCTCCTTTCTCAGGACTCAGGAAACAGCAGACTTGCCTCTACCTCCCTTTTGTATATTTCATTTCCACTCCTAGGTACACATCTTCCTCCCTTCAGCCTACAATATGTTCTTGTTGAATGGTTTTATACATTACTGCTGTATATCACCGAAGATTTAAAGCTACAAATAAAAACATTTAGTTCAGGTGGAAACCAGGCTCTAAGGCTCCTGGTATCAAATCCAGTATGTTTGTTTTTCTAGAAATTTGTATACCTAAGCCACCACACACTGACAGATGCTGATTCACTGACTATAACATGCCACCTTTTTCCTCCCTTCCTTCACACTACTAACATCAAAGCTGCTATTGCATATTACCTTGATATTGCCTAATATTCAAATAAAAAAGTTTGGGCAAGGGTCAGAGGGAGGAAGACACTGCATATGTTTGCAAAGGTGAGTGACAAAGAAGGAAGAGTGAGAATCAATGGTAAAGTGCTACCAGCAAGCTACAAAGCAGTGAATATTCCCATAAGAGAGGAAGAC